CCCCCTGCTGGACAAAAACCATGGAAGCGGAACCCTTAGGGACAGGCACATCGTTCAACATCACACATGAAAAGCAAAACGGCTTGAGATGACAATGTAAGGCCACCGCAGTTTGTTTTTATCGAGCTAATTGCTCGATCCAGCCAGTGGCAGTACCCCTCTGCCTGCCACAGGCAGCTGATGCGCAAGTTCCCTTGCAGTCGTGGAATGTGTATTCGCAAGGCGCCTCCGACAGGCGCAGCGAAACCAACGAAGGGTCAACCACGTTTCCAAGGAGGGTCAGTTGATCTAGTCACTAGTCATGACACCCTGTTCCCACTGTCGGTTTCGATGATAACAGGAATAGAATGGACTGTATGGAAGTATTGATTCTTGAGGCATAACTGTAATAACCAATGAGAACGAACTGGAAGCACCACGGACCACACCAACATACACCAACGCACCCGGCCACTCCTCCAACGGACGCCCTTATGGACGGATCCGAGAGCCAAAAACAGGTAACTTTTAGGGGAAGTCTTCACCTCGTTTTCCGATCTTTTGGAGACCGAAACCTCAGATTCTCTTCTCAGGTTCGAAGGCATGAAGGTGAAACACATTGAAACACTACATCAGATCATACACGCTATAGCGCTTTGGAGGCCGTACACACAGGTACACGGGTACGCGCCTGTGCGTTCATTGCGCACTCGCCGATGGGGGATCAAGGGCCACAGGTCCATGCATGGCTCGCTTCCACGCAGCAAGCATCTCAGTGGCCAAAGATGTTGTTGAAACCGAGGGCACCTTTTCCACCCAGGTGGTGGTACGTCGTACCGTCGAAAGCGGATGATGAACGCAGGATGAATCACGAGGCGTAAGATTGATACATGGAGCAGGTTGAGCTCAGTCCGCCCTTGAAGGTCACCGACAAGCACCAAAACATACAGAGTTTCCACAAATTAAGATTCTTTACAGGTGGCATGCAGCTAGGCATGTTTAGATCCAAGTTGTTATTATTAATATAAATTACAACAATAAACTATAGACATTTTAGGAATTCCAGCAAACCACTACAATGTAACGCCTGCCATCATGTTCCTTTCCCACTACGCAGCTGAGATAGCTGACTGTGCCAAAAGCAGTCAGCAAACACAAACTCCTATGCTGCTGCGGTCATCTCGCTCTAGCTAGCCACAATAAGGGAGAGATATATGTGATGCGCCAACAAAATTCGAGAAAACCGGGAAATGCTCTTGAAGAGTGTCTCAAAGCACTCCATTGCGATTTTTTTTTTGCGGCCCTCAGCTCTCGGACGTTCAGATCGAAATTCACCTGGGACCTGAAGTCATTGAAACCATTGGATGTTCACAAGTCCAAGAGGTGTGGATCTACACCCTCCCCAAATCCCCTGCTGGTGGAAGGCGCTCGTCGTCATCAGGGCCAGTGATGCAGAGCAGCACCTGCAAATAAATCGTCTAGCAGTCTAGCATTTGGGGGCTCGTACCTCCTGTGGTTCCAAAGCTATTTAGCATTATATCATTATTTAGCTAGTCTCTACGCAAAGAATCGGCGACAGGGTCAAGCTGTCAAGTTCAGTAATGTTCAGTTTCAGTTTGGTAGGAGCCCTCACTAAGGGATCCAAGACGACGTCGCAATGTACCCAACACGTTCATTACTTCTGCAGGATCCCTGTGAACATGTTACTGCTAAAGGAAACCAATTTGCTATTTCGTCTCCAAAAGCCAGGAACTTCAACTGCCATCTTTTGCATCCTTTCCACTAAGCCTCCCCCCCTCTACAACACCTTCAAAGTTGCAGATGTGGCTTCAACATCGACTCGGGCTTTCTTGGCTTCTGGGGTTGAATCAGCAATCTGGAAGTATTTGTTTTTCTTCCCCACCTCACGCGTGAAAAGCGATCTGTGGCCAATTGCTGCATGAAGGGAGTCTCTAACAAAACTCAGGTCCCAAGCGAACCTCTCCAACCACCCAAACCTCTCCCAAATTCCCTTCGATTCCTTTGCGGATCTTCACTCTCTGCGCCCCACCCAAATAAGGGACGTGCTCACCTGCTTCACTCCCCTCCCCTCCCCCGCGCACCTCGGTGGGTGCCTCGGCGATGAGCCACAGTGGCAAGGCCATCAACAGCGGCCACTCGACCCGTAGGCGTTGAAACCAGGCTGCCGCCTCCGGTGTCACGCTCCACGCAGTGTCGCCGCGCCGCGAACGGTGTGGGGTCCGGGGCGGTGGTGGCACGTTCCCCGAGGAAAAACGCGGTGGTTTCTGGGAGGTGATCCAAAATGGCTCCCTTGAGTTCCTTCCTGGTGACAGGAGAGCAAAGATATCGGCCAAAGCCCCCAGGTAGTGAGACGAAACTGGACACATCCCGAGGAATCCAATTCCAGAACATCACTTCCTGATTCATCCGAGCACCTACTACACTGACTCCGACAGGTCCACTGCATGGAAAAAAAACTGGTCAGGACCTCGGCACCGGCCTCTTGGATGGGCAGATCGGTCGCTTCGCCCCACATGGAGAGATACACGAAGCGAGTGCCTGGCCGGAACGCCTCCACACAGCTGGTGTGTCAAACAACGGACCGCAGATCATGCGGAGCGCAGGGTCCGTACTTCCCCTGGTGTCGTACAGCGACAGGGTCCGACGGCCATGGCCTAGGTCATAGAGGGTTTCCTGGTGCAAGTTCAGGTCGATGCAACCGCAAGATTGGCCTCCTCAGTGCCAGAAAGGCGCATGAACAGACTGGAAGGCATGCTCTGCCTGGCCGAACATGTCAACAAAAAAGAGGGGTACAAGTACTGCCTGCTCTCAAAGTTTCCATACTTGGGCTCACCGCACCTTCTGGCATAATGCGGTGACATTGTGTTGGTCCATGCATCTTAAATCATCGTAAATCATTCAGGGTCCATTGAGGGGCCTACACTGGCATCGCAGTGACAACCCTGGTGTTGGATCACAAAACCCTCTACTTCCGTTGCTGGCCTCCTTTGATTCCTTTCTTTTTCTCCCCCTCGGTAGACCACACGGCGTCACACGGCCCAGTGACGGCACTTGGTCTTGCTCTGTGTGACTGCGTCCGTGACGATCTGATGAGAGCTAAAGGGCACCTCATCGAGCGGAAGGCGCCGAGCGATGAGCCGGACCGTCCGGACGTCCTAAAGCAACAGATCTCAGCGGCTCAGGGTTTGGGTCCGTCGATTTTAAACATGGTATGCATGTAATATGTAGAAGTAAAACCTTATGAGACCTTTAGGTCTCAGCCAAAGGGGCTAAGGGTCAAGTATACAAAAAGAAGATTTAACAAAAATATGTATATTATATATATATATATACAGTACTGTATATTATCTTATAACTATAATATACAGATTTATAGGCATGGAGCCCCCCGCAGATTGACAGAACATGAGATCTGATTGGGCCCGGGCGACCAGTTGGCCACATGGATGTGCTTCAAGGAGGTGGTCAAACTTGGTGGAAGAGAAAATGCTTCAAGAGCTATCGCAGCTATCGTGGGTTTCCTCCGTTTTGAGACAGCACTGCGTTTTCTTCGGAAAGTTGCTGTACCTTTACGTATCCATACGATGGACCCGCTGGTCCTTGGGTAGCTTCGTGTGGGAAGTTGAACACGCCAAACCGAGGCTAAGCGGCTAAACTCCTACCACCGCATTTGGTCGGAAGTTCTCGAATATTTATACAGCAGAAGAGGCCCTGAGCCTGCACTCAGCAGATTCTATACAACTTGCAATGTGCGGGAGCCCAAAGGCATCAGTAGCCTGTACAAGCTAAGCATGTTTCATCCAAATTAATTATGTAAGAATGCCAGCCTGACCAAAGTCTGCTCTTGCTCTTACATGCTCTCACCCGTGTTTCTGTTGGCCTTAAGCTCCTCCGTTCCTTTGAATCTGCGCAAGGTCACCGCTCTTCGAACTTCCTTGTGCCAGGCTTAGCAGAACTTTTGTCGCCAGACTGACTCCGCCAGAAGAACGCAAAGCTTCTGCACACCTCACGGCATTCTCTTTGAAGGACCCATTGCTGGTGACTCTCTGCAATGCAAGTGCTGTTGCCTTTCTGTATGCTGCCCTTTCCGTCTCAGCCTCGTGCAATGGACCCTTAGGGCGTGGCACGCACACACCCAGTTTCATGGATTCTGCTTTGGCGCCGTTCACGGGCTGGTCCCCAAAGCCAGGGCAAAGCACCATGGGAATTCCTGTGGATAAGGCTTCCATGAAGCTGTTCTGTCCCCCATGTGTCAGGAAGACATCCAAGCCGAGCCTCAATAAATCCACCTGAGGAAGGATCGGTTGGCAGTAGGCATTGGGTGGCACCTGCAGATTCTCCAGTGCATCAGCTTGTGGCCCCAAAGCCAGCCTCAGTGCGGTCTCTTTCCCCCACTGACCTCCCAAACATGTACTGAGGATTTGCGTTAAAAATGCCAAGTGAATTCAAGGTAAAATGTTGATACATTTTGGGAACTTGGCTGCGCATGGAGCTCAATGCGGGACTGGAAGAGCAAACATATTCCAAATTACCACCCAGCAGCAAGATCAGGGGTGTCTGGGCATCAGCGCCATCAGCTTCTCCAAAAACATCAAAAACTGCTTGCCAGGCAGCCTGACAAAGCTCTTTTCCTGTAAGTCCACGCTTCTCTCCATTGACGGTCTCATGGGCTTTCCAGCCATAATCCTTACCAACCAACCCCAAACACGGAATGTTATATATACTTATATATATGTTTATTATACACACCTGGAACCTGAGTATATAACCTTGATGTTGCACAGCAATTGGACAGCCGAGAATCAGAATGATCTCCAGTGATGATAGTTCCAAGGCTGACCAGCACCACTTTCCGTCCCTCTGCCTTGGCCGCACGCGCCAAAGCCAGAGGCTTCTCATCATCCATGTGATCACGCTGGCTGTCAAACTTGTGGCCCCCAGCACGTTTGGCACCTGGCTCGTCGAGCAAGGGGCCCAAATACATGAAAGGGTGCCCCTCATAGGCCTTCGTCAAATCCAGTGGCACTGGATCGGCCAAGCACTCAGCAGTGGTCACCAAAGTGACGTCGGAAGTCAAGGCAGTTCGCAAAAGGCCTAGAGGCCTCAAGTGATCCTCAACCTGGCTGTGGGTCGGCCCACTTGTCGTTCCACGCAACCAGCAAATAAACAGGATCAGGATCTAAAAAATATGTATACTTATTGTATCATTTAGATATACATGATAGTTGACCACAAGCTGCTACCCATGTGCCGACATACCTACATTATACATTAGAAGGATGCTTTCTCGTTTCACATCACGTCATCCAAATTCTTGAGTGTGTTTTTTGAGTTGTTTGGCCACAGCTGTCCTCGACTTGCAGGCCATAGTTTGCCCTCAAGCGATTTAGGCACTCCACTAGTGCGGGAAGCTTGGACCTTTCTTCCAGGAGCTCTTCTGCAGTGGTGCTCCTTGGATTTGTTCAGAGACTGGCTAAACCATGCCAAACCACCGAGAAAAACTGTTATTCCTCTTGCTTGATTTCATGGAAAGTCCTGTCTAGCAGGCACAAAGAAAATATGGACAACATAGCACGGCCCAGAAAAACATGTTGGTCAACATTCCCAGGAGGCAAAGAGCTCAAGGTGTTGCTCCAAGCAAGTTGGACACTGCCCGGCCCGGCCACGGTACACAGCCCAGCTGAGGGCAGCTTCGCCACCTTGGCAGCCAACGGGGCCTCCAAGTTGATCCTCGGTGAGTCGAACGTGGACTGGGACTCCTCACATGTCCACCAAGACCTGTTGAATGGGAGAACCAGCAACTTGGTGTAGCTCGAACAAAGATAGATAGATTTAGAGAGAGAGAGAGAGACATAGATGGAATAAATCGATGAACGGATCGATAGATACATTAGATTAGACTAGACATGACTAGACTAATTAGACTAGATTAGATAGATGGCGTCAGTGATGTTTATTCTTGAGCGCCTCCCCCTCTCCCAAATACCCAAGGAAAGCAAAGATGTGTTGAATTCACCATCCCGGGTGGGCCTCTGAAATGGGGTCACTCCCCCGCTCACCAGCTTGTACATAATAGGTCGTCCTGGCCGCATGGTTGAGACTTAGATGAGCAGGGTCAGTTCCTCCCCCTCATCGGTGCTTAGATCGGCTTGGATCGGCCGATCCGATCTTTGCTTTGCCCTTCAACGGCGGTGCTTCGGTCGGTGGACGTCCCCCGAAGTCCCGTCCCGGCCCGTCGGTGGCGTGTCCCGGAACGTCCCGGCTGAAAGGAACACCGCTGAGGATCAGGGGGCAAAAGAGCACCGCATGGGCCTCGATGGTGTGAAGCCATCGCAAGGTGCCAGGAAGCATGAGCTCAACGGCCAGTTCCCTCAACACCAATCGTGCCTTGGACAAACTACCAGTCCTTAGCTTCCCCAATGCCTGTCTTCACATGTCTTCACGAATGCCAATGTTGTGGAACTGAGAATGGTTGCATATACCTGGACTGGAGATCAGTGATCCTGTCATCCAATTTGACGCATCTTTGTTCCCTTACTTATGAAATCAACCCTGAGGTCGGTCCCTCACAGTGAAGAAACCAAGCTTCAGCCCATGTTCTTCTTGAAGAGATCCTAAGGCACCGTACATGGATGGATCTCGGTCTTCGAAAAGCTCAGGCTGTTCTGCGATGTCACTGTGAAAGCGGGCACCGGTATCTTCGATGGCTTCTCGCATCTGTTCGCGCGACAAGTAGTGCACGGCATGCCCTTGACGCACCAAACGTCGGGCAATCGCAAGGGAGGGGTTGATGTGCCCTGAAGCCATTGGAAAAATGAAAGCAAAGTTGTAAGTGGGACCCTTTGTGGGCGCAAAGGCTTCAATATGCTCAGGCATCTCAGTGTCCATGCGACTTTTTGGGGCGAGGCACGCACAACGAAGTTTGTGGACTGTCTTGAGCCGATTGATTTGCAAATCACCCACTTAAGGCTTGTTTGTTGGATGTGTTTCGACACCAGCCAGATAAGATCTGCCCCATCCCTGGCAACACACTTACACACTAGGTGTTGTGCATCGACGTCATTCCGCCAACCAGTTGGACACGGTCATGCCTTGGCCAAGCAACGCATTCTGCCCGACTCCATAACAAGTGCATTAATCCCGAGTACCTATTAAAAAACGGACCCCAATTAAAAAAAAGTCATGCCGGATCCCCTAAATTTGGTTTATATTTGGTTTTAAATTGCCGCCCTTTCAAACCGCTACTAAACTACCAACATGGTCGATTTTGGGGGTAGTTTTTTTTATTAGGTTTCCCAAAACTCCACCATGACACGCCGCGCTTACACCAGCAGGCTTTCCTTCCCTCAATGGCACGGACTCACGCAAACGCACTTGCCACCGAGGTCACGCAACACCGCATGGCACAGCGACATCACCTTTCGAAAGCTTTAGCTGTTAGTCTACTGAAGAATCACTATTCTAATGAAGGTTTTTGTAGGGGAAAAGGAAGACCCTTCGATCTGGCGGTTTTTTGCATTTTTGATATGAGTTTAATAAAGGATTTTATATAAAATTTTCCTGGATTACTTTTTGGTTTTGAAACTCTTTCCAGGTGACCCTATTTTGGACACCCCGATTTCAGGGACCCCCTATTAAAAAAAATGCGACCGAGGTTTCCTTATTAGGGGGGGGGGGGGCCCGTGTTTATTATTAGGGGGACGGGATTATGGACATACGTGACATACATAACGTAAAACTCATTTTACTTCACCTTTGATGCCCGAACACACCAAACAACTTTCACACATCCCAAAACCTCAACACGGGCTCATCTTGCAAACTGCGTGCAGGTTTTGAAGTTCATGTTAGGACCCTTAGGGTGCTTGAAGAATCATACGCTCAGAATCACTCAGAAATACACTGCAATGAAACTTAAATGTCTTTTTGCATATTTCTTGCCCAATTTACAACTCATTCATGCGATCAATGACCCTGGGCACACCACTTCGCCGGCAGACTTCACCCCCCCGTCCAGGGCGCCACCGTGTAGAGTCCCTTGGGCAGGGCCACGGAGATGAGGTGCTCCGAGGCCTCCGAGGCGGAGACGTGGATCGGAGCCTTCAAATCCAACTGGTGCTGATCCCGGAGCTCCTGAGGCACGGAGCAAGTGAAGCGAAGAGGGGCCTCGAGACCTCTTATCCAGGACCCGTTTTTTTCAATCTGCCGATTGGCGAAACGAAGAAGGAATGTAGAGGCGTGGTGCGGCCGATGGCCCCTACGGACAGGTGAGGAACCGTAGATAGTATTCTACAAAGGCAACCTACTCGGAAGACTGACACAATGCACATCAATGCACAGTAGGGAGCTCTGCCAGGACCTTCAAAGTGACCCTTTGATATCGCAGGATGAGGTCACGTATATACAAGGTCACTTAGAAACTCCAAAGAGGTCAGTTTGAAGGTCCTGGTGCTTGAACCTTTTAACACATTTTCCTCGGGATCCGTGGAAAAACCAGTGATCTGGCTGGTGCAACAGGAACTCGCAAAAACACCGTGCCGGAACCAATGCGGGGTGCTTGGTTAAGGTCAAGATATTGGAGGTCATGAGTTGACCTCAACACAACGACTGACCTGTATAGGCATGGTGTTTCTGTCCAGGCCACCTTTTTGAACGGTGACCTGAGCCTGGGATGGGCTTTCTGTAAGGACAAACTGGTCTTGACAAGTGAATCATACCTGAGACATCCTGAGACCAAGCAAAAACATCCATTAGGGTTGAACCTTCTGTCAGAAAAAACAACATTAGGACCACTTCATGTTGGACAAGGGTCGCAAACAACCGAAACCTCCGATCCGGCATCCCAATGTTCAAATTCAAAAAGTGAAACCACGAAACGATTCAGCACCACCAGCACTGACCTTCGACTATACTAAAGCACGGGAGCACATGACACATGAGAGTGCAATTGCCAAGAGATGCGACTGGCTTGATCTACGTGTTTTTTGCTTCTTCCCTACCTACTGAGCAATTGAGTATAGCCTTTTGTACCCCGGACGGGTTGGCATTGGAGTACTCCGGGCATTCTTGCTCTCCTCTGGGCATTCGCAAATCCAGAATCCCATCTGCCCCTCATCCAGCGCGAAGCAGGGGTTCAGGCACTTGGATACCTCGGACCGGTCCCGGCACTTGGATACGTCTGAGCAAGTGCGGGTCCCGGCTGACCAAGGAAATAGCACACGCCCTGAAAAGAATGGATGGCGTGGGCCGGAAGGAGGACCAGTTTCCGAAGGTTTCTGAAGACCAAAAGGGTGAACTCCACGTAACCATGTGAGCTTTCCCCGAGTGTAACGCATCAAGAATTGTCGGAGCTGGTCCCACGAGCCAGTCTCCAAATCGGTCAAGGCAAAAAGTAGAGAGAGCTATGGGACAAATTCCGTTGCAAATAGCGGGATCGGGGAATCCGGGTGTCATAATCCCAAATCATTGCGCACATACCGCAGCTGACATATCTGACCTTCTATCTTCAAGCCTGGCTCCTATCTGCAAGCAAGCATCCCTGAAACTAAGTTAGGCCAAACATGTCCACAGGTAATTACATCGCTCAATTTTTTTTGAGGTCCACGGCTGTGTTCAGTAGCACTATCGCAGCCACCAGAAGGCCAACCAACGAACAACTAGAGCAAAACTGCACCAAGCTACAGTCGATGACATGACGTGACGTGACATCACATCACCCACCCGCCATAAGGGCATCACCGCCACTGAATCCTGTGCCACTGATGCACGAAGCTGGAGGAGAAACAGCATCACTTTACTTCGGTTGACCCCCGCTACAGCATTCTACCTCGCATATACAATAACACACATATATATATATATATATTATATATATAGCATTCTATGTGGAATATTTGCTGGGATTTATTGTGACATTCTATCTGGCACTTATTCTGGCATTCTTACTGGTTGGTATAATAAATGTTGACGTCCTTTGCAGCATGCTTTCTGACATTCTATTTGGATCTCTTTGGCATATATACAGGCATTCTATCTGGCATATTTACTGGCACTCTATCTGGCAAATATGCTCTCGCATTCTTTCTGGTAATCTACTTGGCATCTCTTGTGGCGTTCTTCCTGGAATTCTAAGCCCAGTTCAGTTCCGGTGGTGCCCACTGCGATCTGGTGCTGGCGATTGACTGCCCACCGCGATCTAGCGCTCGCGGTTGAGGTCCCACAGGGATGTGGCGTCGCGGTTGAGGTAGACCATCTCTGATTCTTCAGTATGTCAAGGAAACCGTGCTTCATTTTATTTGACATTGTTGTTCGATGCATGTTGTGAAGGAGAGGAGAGGAGAGGAGAGGAGAGGAGAGGAGAGGAGAGGAGAG